GATGTGCAGCAAAATTAAATTGTTTTAATATGAAAAAATAAGAGGCATTTGCAGGGAAAGGCATACTGACCAGCTTGGCAGCCAACCATCAGTCCCTTTCCTGGGACACAGTGCCTGTGTGCCCAGCTCACTGGGACTGAATAAGCTGAGTTGTCAGAGATGCTCTCATTCTGGATCTGAGCAATGCAACTAAGCATTTATCAGTATATTTATATACTGATATATATATATATCAGCTATTTAGAAAGACATGCTTTCTGCTGAGTTCTTGAGAAAATCTTCAAAACTCTGACCCTACATGAGTGAAAATGGAGATTAGCATTGCTCTCAACTATCTCATACCCTCACTAAATTCAGACTTCATTTCCCATGGGTGTGGAAAGATAGGACTAAATTACACGAATTGGAACGATTGTGTGGTACTGCCTTAAAAACCATTTTGAAACAAATAAGGGCATTTTTTCATCTTTCCTATATATGCTAAGCAGGAGATTAAAGATAAATGAAATATAGAAATACGTTATATATGGGGATAGAAAGAGCTTAAAGCTCACAGTATCATAGAATAATTCAGGCTGGAAAAGACCTTTAAGGTCATAGAGTCCAACTGTAAATGTAGCACTACCAAGTCCACCACTAAATGGAAAGAGGGATGCAACTGCTGCTGCATGTAGCAGAATGGAAGATTAGTGTAGTCACTATAGAATTGTACATAGGTAGATAATTAGAGAAATCAGAGGGAGTAGACATGCATTTTGAGTACAGCTGAGAAGAGAGGGAGGGAGAAGGATAAATGTAAGCAAAAGAATCAAATGGAGAGTCGATAAGAAAATACAAGAACCTGTAGAACAGAGAGAGGTGATAAATGAGACTGTGAGGAAAAAGAAGGAAATACTTATATATCAAAAGTGGGAATATGCACAGCTACCTGAGACAGTCCACAAAAATTGTGTAGCCTTATCAAATGCTAAAAAATTGATAAAATGCTGAATTGGCTACTACATATCAGCTACTGTACAGTAGCAGAAAAGTCCTGTACCTGAGAGGTGGTCATTCACTTTCTATCAGTTACAGGATTTTCTTCCATATAGCTGACACTGGTCCCAGGCAAACGGAATACTTGAAGAATTAGACCCCTTACCTGATCTGCTTTTTCTACATTCCTAAGGAAAAAAAATCCAGAGAAATAAAGTGTCCCACACTGTTTTTAAAAACAACCTTCAATTTTTCATCAGAACTATGGATGAGGAGAATTTATCCATTTGCATTGTCTCTCACATGTCTATCATTCTTAAGCATTCTTATACTTTTTATTTATTAAAGATAACCTAAGAGCTCCAAGAGAAAAAGGCCTTTGTGCATACTACTAAATGGTCTCTTGGACTTCTGGGCATTGCGTAGTTTGCGCCTGTGACAATGTGTCTGTTAAATATTTTCCTTAATCATAAAGTCCCTGCCTTGGTGATAAATATGGAAAATTGCCAAGCTAGGCTTAAAATATATCTCTTCCATTTAAGCAAAGTTTTTAAGACAAACTACTATATCTGTCAAAAGTTATTGAGAAAAAAGCCTGAATTAGCTGTGTGGCCTCTTGCAGTGCTGGTATGTTAAAAGTTCTTGTATTTTTGGAAGGTTTAATGTCCTGTTCTACTTTGTGATGCTGCTTGTCTTGGACCTTATCATTATTTAATTTATTTTTTTTTTTTTTTTTTGGACAATGCTGCTTTTCAGTCTATTTTTGTGAGCTGCTGAATACCTTCACCTCATTTTGACATCAGTGAAAATGGAAAGATTTAACTCTGATTCCTACAAAGACTGCAGTGGTCAATTTTAGACATATAGTACCAAGTAGATTTTAACAGGGTCCTGGAAATGTTTGTAGGAGTAACTTGTAGAAAATATCCCTTCAGAAGAAAAGAAAATTATACACACCTAGGAACAGGCAGATTTTTCTACATGCAGAATACATGCAGAAGTATAATGATGTCATATTGCATTTTTCAATATTCATAATGCTGTAGATTACTCTTAATTCTCATCCCTGTGTCCTTCATTCCAAAAGGAAGAGGAAACTACTGCTCAGCTATACTCAGAAAGCATTCCTGGGCTGCTTTAGTGTTGTTTATTTTTCATCTTGGTTTTTTTATCTGATTTTTTTATTCTGACTGCAAAAACATTTAGAATAACACAACCTTAAATTCCATATATGCATTGTCTGGCTCAGAGATACTCAGCACTGCCTGGGCTTCTGAAATCTTTATATTGTGCTTGATAGATTTTTTTAGTCATTGTGTAAAATACAGCAATACTGAAGGTGGTGGTCTGAAAAAGTACTGGCAAGAAAAAATGTATCAGCAGTCACTGACTAATTGTATTTGTTCAAATTTCTGCCATGAAGTTAAGTTCAGGTCAAAGTCTGTAGAACTTCCTTGCCTTCAACTGTGCCAGCAAGTCTCTCAAAGAAACATATTTATAAAGTAAATTGCATGTTCTGGATAATATGCATCTCCCATCAGAGAAAGAGATGATCCAATATTTGAAGCAAACTTGTTTCCATTTGCACAAACCATTTCATTGCTAGCCTTGTGGTACAAGCTAGGCATTTTTTACATTATAATTTCCAAATTTGTATGCAGCCTGGAGCAAGGTATCGTAGGTGTCATCACTGTAGCAACAGAATGACTTGAAGCACAATGATTCTATAATCCATATCCAATGTTTTGTAAATTTCTAAAATTTAAAAAATTATAGAAAGTAGATTTCATATGCAGTGTGTACATTGTTTGCAGAATACTGGTATAAACATAGTTGCTCAGGAATTCTTCATTGTTTCTAAGTGTATCTACAGGAAAATGCTTTAAAACACCTTTTTTTAAGTTCTTAATATTGAAAATGCTGGCTTAAATAAAACCTGTTAGCAATTTCACTTGTAAGATCAATATTGTTCTGAAGTCTGTAGCTTTCTGATGGACTTTTCAATCTTTGACATCGTAGAATCTCTTTGCAGTGGTGTTCGCATTTTGGTTTAATAAAAGTTCTTGAATAAAATTCACAAATTCTAGCTTTCTTCATGAAATTCCAGTACATGCACCAGGTCACAACTTTTTTACTCGTGCTTCTTCATGGCTCTTTGTGTTGATGAAAATTATCTTTATAACTGAAATTGAAGGTAGCAAGAGTAAAGTTTGATTGCAAAAGCTTGAGCATTCAGGAGTCCTAAGGTATGTAAGCACACCCCTGGTTAGTATAAAGCAGAAATCTCTCACCCACTGCAGCAAGAATTGGCAATTTTCTTGCAAAACTGAAGCTGCCCCTCAGGGTGGATGGCATCAGCACTCTGCCTATGATCACCAAAATCGTTGTAAAATATATTTCACCTGCAACTGTGTCTAAATACAATGCATCCCGATTACCATTCTAGAGAATGCCATCACAAATCTCATTTCTTTTAGTATTATGAGGAACTGGAATGTTAAGGTGGAAGGCAACAGCGAGCTTGCACTCTTCCCATTCTGGTAGGAGGTTGTGCTAATACTCTTTGCTGAGGAACCAAAAAACAAACAAACAAAACAGGGAAGACACAGATCATCAATTATCCCTCTCACAACGTCTCTCCTCATCCATCCGTGTTGAAAGATCACACCTTCTCCAGGTTTTTCACCTGATGTGACTTTTATTGCCTCTCTGCCTCAAGCACATTGTTGCTGGGGCTAAACACAACCTGCCATGCTTAGCCTTGGGATCCCCCTCAAGTGCTGCTGCTGCTGCATGGGGCTGGCCTATGCTCCCACAGCCATCGCTGTTCATGAAGATAACATTCCCTTACAACACACTGTCTTCCCACAGCATTCTCTGGAGAAACTGGCTGCTCATGGCCTGGATAGGTGTATTCTTCACTGGGTTTAAAACTGGCTGAATGGCAGAGCCCAAAGAGTGGCAGTGAATGGTGTCACATTTAGTTGGTGACTGGTCACTAGTGGTGACCCTCAGGGCTGAGTATGAGGGCCATATGTTTAACATCTTACTGATCTGAATGAGAGTATCGAGTGCACCCTCAGTAAATTTGCAGATGACACCAAGATGGGAGAGAGTGCTGATCTGCTGGAGGGTAGGAGGCTCTGCAGAGGGATCTGGACAGGCTGGATCCATGGGCTGTGGCCAGTGAGATGAGGTTCAACAAGGCAAAGCACCAGGTCCTGCACTTGAGCCACGACGACCCATGCAATGCTCCAGGCTTGGGGAAGAGTGGCTGGAAACTGCTCATGGAAAAGGACCTGGGGGTGCTGATTGATGGAGCTGAACATGAGCAGCTTGTGCCCAGGCAGCCAAGAAGCCAACAGCATCCTGGCCTGTACCAGCAATAGTGTGGCAGCAGGGCCAGGGCAGTGATCATCCCCCTGCACTGAGTACTGGTGAGGCTGCACCTCGAATCCTGTGTTCAGTTCTGGGCCCCTCACTACAAGAGAGACATTGAGGTGCTGGAGTGGGGGCAGGGAAGGGCAATGGAGCTGGTGAAGGGTCTGAAGCACACGTGTGATGGGGAACAGCTGAGGCAACTAGGAGATTTAGTCTGGAGAAGGCTCAGGGGGGATCTTACTGCTCTACAGCTGCCTGACAGGAGGTTGTAGCGAGGTACGGGTCAGTCTCCCAGGTAACAAATTACAGGACAAGCAACATCAGCCTGAAGTTGCACCAGGGTACACAGGCGACCAAAAAGGCTTCCCAGGGCAACGGCAGAATCACCATACTTATAAGTGTTCACAAACCATGCAGATGAGGCCCTTAGATATTCAGTTTAGTGGTGGCCTTGGCAGCCCTGAGGTAATGTTTGGACTTGAGCTTAAAAGTCTTTCTCACCCTAGTCAAATCTGTTATTCTAACCGCTCTTTCCGGTACCGCACATTCAAATTTTCCCAGAAAACGACGACTCGGAACGGGACAGACCCGGGTGACAACGAAGCGGGACAATGGCTCCCGGCGACCCCGGGCTCAACGCGGCACCCGCGGACAGGCCCCCGCGGCAGCGGGATGAGGGGCAGGGCCGCGCGAGCTCCGCCCGGCACTGTCCCGTTACCCGCAGACATGGCGGTGGGCTGCGCGCCGCCGCTGAGGGGCAGCAGCCGCGGGCTCGGCAGCGGTAAGCGACCGGCGCTGTGAGGGACGGGGCGCGGAGGGGAAGGGCTGCGAGGGGCTGAAGCGCCTGGACCCATCGTGAGGGGCTCGCTCGGCCGGGGTCAGCTGCGCACGGGGCCCGCGTTCTTACCTGGGAGCAGCAAGAGCAGGAATCCATCCTCTCCGAGAGCCCGGAGTCCCGCAGGCCGGTTGGACGGGACGGCGGCGGGCAGCGGGAGTCCCCTGAAGCCCGCTGTCGTGGGGGGTTTGGTTGAAGCTCTGTATTTGTACGGGGTTGGGGAAGGAAGCACTTTTGTTTTAGCTGCAGTTCGCTTTGAAAGAGACCCAAAGTCAGAACTGCTCTAACTTGCAGCCTTTCTTTAATGCTTTTGAGACTCTGCTCATGTAGACGGATAATTCATTAGTGCTGTAGGTGGTTGTAAGGGAAGTAACAGCATATGTAATTTACTTCAGGAAACTTTATTCTTCATTCATTTACATTTTAACGTGTTTTAAAAAATGTTTAAAACCTTAGACATTTAAAACTGAATGTGTAGTTCTGCGCAGACAATATGAGGAATGCAAAAGGTATATATTTTACCAGATGATCCCTAAGGTCCCTTCCAACCCAATCCATTCTGTGATTTTACTTGCTAACTTTTTGTGATACCTGATTAATTGCACTTCCAGTTAAATGGAAGGTGGAATAGTGTGAAGTTTTCAGGAATTTGGAAAAAGGACAGAAGATGTCAGGGAGAGCTGTAATGGCTACGATGCAGAGCCAGTGCCCACTGCTCAGGAGCCCTGTTTAAGCTCAGCCGTGACCCTTCAGTCCCTGCCTCGGCCCTGCCACTAGGTAGCCTCTGGCCTTGTCTCTTGAATGGACCTTGGACCTACATTGTCTCCAGCACTGTTTCTGGCCCCATCTGCTGCTGCTCCTGACTGGACTCCCTGGGTGGACCCTGGATGCGATTCATCTCCTCTGCTTAGGTGGTCACTCTCAGTGGACTGTGCTCTGTTCAGGTCTGTTGGGACTATACCCTTGTCCCCAAGAGTACCACCAGTGCTTTGGTCACCCTGAGCTCCTGGCTCACACTGTTGGAGAGGATTCCTGCTCTTGCTGCCCGCAGATAAGAATTTGTGTTAGAAACCTCCTGTCAAAATAAAAGTTCATGTGAAAATGAGAACTGGATTTTAGTGGATAAGAGGAAAGTGCCTTTGGGGGTTCAAAATCTACATATATTTTGCTTTCTTTTTCCCGCAAGAAAATATCTCAAAAAAAAAAAAATTTCACCAAAACACACAACAAAACTTGCTTTGGTTGTAGCTTGTGTGTGAATAAGCTTATTGAGAAACTTTCTCAGATGTGCACTTTGATAAGTGTTTGATAATTCTCTTACTATTTTGTAGTTGTCTTTAGGCAGCAGAAATGGAAAAGCTCTGTCTCCACAAAAGCAAAAATGCCTCCTTGCAATTTTGTACCTGAAAAATACAAAGTAAGTCATACATACTGCACTGTATTTAAGTAAGATTGCATTACTAGATTGGACTGATAGGCTTATCTGCTATAAATAGTTCATTAAGTATGATTATAGAATTTGGTAGTTTGGACAAAAAATAATTCCATTCCAACCAGGATGTAACCTATAGTTTTACCTGTGTGGCAGTTCTGTAACCGGTTGGCTACACTGTTGATTTGAAAAGCTAAGGAAGAGAGAAGTGCAGAACAGAAATCTTAACTTCAAAAGCTGAGTTTTGGGGGTTTGTAGAACATTCTACGTGCCAGAATTTGTTAAAGTCTTAGTTCTATGAACAACTGCTATAGACAGCTGTGTAATCTATGTGATTCACTACAGCCCCATTAGTCTGGATCTTTAGAAAGCATAAATGGATACTGACTTTTTTTATTGCACTCAGTCCCATTCATATGAACGCATGCGGGAGATTCGTGAACAAAATATTTCTCCTTCATTGAGAACATTTTACAAGAAGCCATTGTTGCTGCATCAAGGACACATGCAGTGGTTATTTGATTATGAAGGACGAAGATACCTTGATCTCTTTGCTGGAATTGTCACTGTTGGTGTTGGTCACTGTCACCCGTAAGTATGTTACTATTTGATTCATGCTATAAAATGCAGGAAGAGATACTTACTTTGGTTTTCTCTTTGTTAATCTGTGGCATTGTGAGCCTAAAACCAGAATATAGTTCATTGTATTGTCATGTATGATTTACATTAAGGTCAATTTCCTCTGCATTTTGAAAGATTAATCGATTCTGTCTACTTGCTCATTGATCTGGCAAATGGCACAGTGTCTGAATTTTCAGGATTAATAACAGATGGGCGTGCGTGTGTATGAGTAAACGTGTATAGAATTGAATCCCTTTGTCTCTTTTTGTGCTACATACAGGAAGGTAACTATGGCTACCCAGAAACAGCTTGCTCACCTCTGGCATATCTCTAGTATCTACATGCACCCATCAATCCAGGAATATGCTGAAAAGCTAACTTCTCTTTTTCCAGATCCACTTAAGGTACTTTGCTCCTTACAGGACCAGGGGCTGGTGAAGGGGATGTCTGTAAGAAACATTTAATATAAAAATATATATTAAATAAGTGAGAGCAACAATATCTGTGGAGAGAAAATCTGTATGGGGACTACAGACTGTCAGAGAGCATGATGACCCTCAAAGCCTTTTCTTTAGACCTAATGTAGGCAAGCATAATATCCCAAGCTCCTGTTCTGTTTGTTCTCTCCGTCAAGTTGTTAATGTGAAAGGACATTGCCAAGCTTTAAAGTTACTGAAGGAACTAAGATGTTAACTTATCTTTCATGTAGTCTTTCATGTAGTCAGGCTTAATTTGTTTGATCTCATAAAAATTCACAGTGAAAAGTATTTGACAGTACTTTGTGTAGTGAGCTTTATAGACATTTAAATAAGTAACCCACATAAATGTCATGTTTCATATGCCCAGAAAGAGTAAGAAAAACACTGGCTTTTTTTCAGGTAAAATAAACTGGTGATAAAATGAACTTGGGCTAGCAGGAGAGTATGAAGTTACTGCAATCTTAGGAATGAAGGAGAGTAACAAAACCAAAACAATACAAAAAAAAAGTGTAAAGTATCTGAATAGTTTAAGCAGTGGAAAATCTCAACCAATTCTGAAAAATTTACTTTAAAAGTGGTGACAATAGAGTTTGAGCTGTTTTCGAACCTCAGAACTCATAAACAGGATTTACCCTTTGTTCCCAGTAAGCCAACTGCTTATCTTTGCTATTCCATGGTTATGTCTGTGTAAGTCACTCCTAGTAACTAATATGCAGGTACACTGTAGCAGCACTTTTTACCTCTGTGAAGGTTATTTCTATTCAGTCAGGCGTGTTCAGTTTAACCCAGACACTTTCTTTTTTCTTTGAATCACTGTTCCATTTTAGGAAAACCTGAAGACTCCAACTCTTAAAGATTTCTTTTTTTTACTCTTTCTGTGTAAATCAGCTTGAAGCTTAACCTTAGTTCTCACCTGTAGTGTATGGGCAACACTGCTTCTTGCAGTGAAGTAATCTTGTATTAGTGATAGGTCATAGCTCCTGATGTTAACAAATGACATGGCCTGATGCTGAGCAACGTGGTGGTTGTTCACTGTACTGATCCTAAGCATTCTCCTTTAGGTGGTTTATCTAACCAACAGCGGGTCAGAAGCCAACGATTTGGCTATGTTCATGGCAAGGCTATATACTCGTAACTTCGACATCATCTCTTTCAGGTAATGATGATCATTTGTGTATAAGTATCTATCTGCCTAAGCCAAGGAATAATGGGGAACTCTTTAACTCCAGATGTGCTGAGTAGAAAGCTATAAAATTATTTTATTTGACAAAAAGGAGTAAAACAGGAGTTGAAGATTTGGTACAGTACATTAGGACTAGCTTGCATTCAAAACAAAACCTGCAATTTTTGCCTTTGTTGCTTAGAAAAGGGTCTAGTCTCTGCACTAAGAATGTGCTTTGGTGGACCTTTGTTCAGAGCCACAGCATGCTTCAGCAATTGCTGCTTTCTTCCTTCATTCCACCCCTGCAGTATCCCCCTTTGTCCCCTTTGTGGGGGTACAAAGGTAACTCTAGAATAATGGTGCAGTGAACCGCAGCAGGGAACTGCTGTGGCTTAAAGCTAACCTGGTGAAAGGACTCATTTTTTTTTCTGCTTATTTTGCTGCCTTATTTTTCTGCCAGATCCCTGAACCATAGTTCACTGCACTGGTACACAAAGCTCTTCTGGCTTCACAGCAGAGGTGGTGCAGGAGTGAGTGTAAGCAGTTCTCTTTACTATGCATCCCAGGCAGCCTCAAGGTCTTGCAATGAAGCACTGTATTTTTCTACTCTTCCATTCAGTAGAACATTGGGTACCCACCTTGCTTGTATATTATCATTAATGAATTTCTGATTCGCTAATAAAACTGGTAGGAAATCACCATGTGACTTAATGATTGCAGCATCTGTTGGAGAGAGCAGTGGTTCCATAGATTCAAAGAACAGGTATGTTTGCTGTGTAGGGCTCAGGTGCTACAGCAGAACTTCATGAGACACTGTTGGAATTGCTTTTGGTTCCAATCATTGTTCTTTTCTCCTTGAAAACATTACCTTACGATTTTAACTTTTGAAATTTCAGGGAACTAGTGCAGATAGTAGTCACGGGTCTTCCAAAACCAGAGGAAAAATGGCAGTAGGAATATTTGTGTTTCAAGTGTAACAATGCTCATTTTCCCTAATAATATATAGCTCAGAAACCTACCTTCTTAGACTAATAATGTTGCTACAATCCCTTCTTGGAAATGAGTGGTGTTCATCTACTTTCTTTGTTTGCACAGGGGAGCATACCATGGAGGCAGCCCTTACACGCTGGGATTGACATCTGTTGGTCTTTATAAGCATGGTGTTGCCAATGGCTTTGGTTGTTTAACAGTGAGATTTTTATTATTTTTTTTTTTTAAATAATCTGGGTAACTAACAGTTTATTGTTGAATATTTTAACCATTAGTACATTTCCTATTCTTGAAGTGCTTTATGGTCACTAGCTAAAATGTAGCTATCCTGCTGTGTAAGTATAAAAGCCACAGTCCCTTTTACTTCTCCGTAAGGTTACTTACGCTAATTTGGAGACGGTACAGCCATAACATGAGTGGTCGTGATTTACAGTTCTTTAGTCATGTTTGGTGCTTGCATGGTAAGGTGCAAATTAATGTTCTGAAGCCCTTTTCACAAGCTGATTTTGGCAAATCTGTGCAAAGCTGCTTTCAGCTATCTGAAGCAGATCCTCCCCTGGAATAAAAAGAAACAAAATAACCCTGTGATGTCTCTCATTTCAGCAAGACAGGAGGCATATCAATTGGGGGTAGATGGCAATGTGTTATCTCCCTGCCCTTGAGCAGATAGGAAGCTGGCATTGGCTACTCTTGATTTGTTATGGTGATAGCTCAGCCACAGCACTGGCTATAGAAAGGCTCCTTTGTAACAGCCTACTAACCTGGCTCAGTAAATGAGTTGTCTGAAGTCATGCGGTATTTTGTCAGCAGACACAATTTGAAGGCTGGAGCTCAAAATTTCCAGCCTATAATTACTTTACTAGATCTGCCTGCCTCCCTGTGTTTTGCAGATTTTTAACATACTTCAGATTATTAAAGTACTACTAGAAACTCTAAAAATGTTGCTATTAATCTGAGATAACCAAAACTGCTGACTAACAAAGAACAAAACAAAGGAAATTATCAACTCACTACTGCTGGAACTTATTGGTTCCAGAACTGTCTCTGTTCTACCATTTCTTGAGGGGGAAGTTCATTGTTACTCTACAAGTGTTTTTCAGAGAAGTTGCTTGAACTAGGTATCCCCTTTGACTCTAACAGACTTTTTGGGGGTTGGGGTTTTTTTCCACTAGTCATCCCTAAGTATGATCAAAACATCTCTTAGAAAGGTCTCATCAAACCTGTAGCTTTCTCTTATGCTTGGCAGACAATGTTACCAGATGTTTTTCGTGGTCCATGGGGAGGCAGCCATTGTAGAGATTCTCCAGTGCAAACTGTTCGAAAATGCACCTGTTCTGAAGGTTGGTCAATGACAAGAAGTATTTGGCTTTTATATTAGAGAATACTAGAGGGCTGTGGAAATAGGTTAATTACCTCCTCTGGGAAGGTAGACCTCTGGGTAGGATTTGCAAAAGCGACCAAAGAAAATATTGCAGAGCGCATAGAGCATCTGCTTCCCACTGAGAAAGATCTGTTCTTAAAATCCCAGCCTTTGTTTCCAGCATTTGTCATGATCAACTCCAGAAGCTGGGGAACTCAGTTTGGCACATCTGAAAGAACAGAAGTGTTGATTGGTGTTTTCCAGCACTGACCATAACAGCTGTTTCTGAAGTTTTGACAGCTCTACAGCTTTTGTTTTGGAGTAATATGAATGAATAGCAAAGACAACCTGTAGCCCATGATACGCAAAAAGCCATGAGGCAAACCATTCTGCACGCAGCACAAAGTGAAAGCTCCTTCTACTGCTCTCCTCTTAACAACGGTTACAGTGAATTATTTGTGCAGTTTCAACAAGTACTCTGTAGTATTTTAATTCACATGCATACGTAACAATGTTTTTTTTCTAGCTTTGCCCTCCCTAGTGGATGGGAGCATTAGCTATACTGTTATTTCAGTATAGACTGATATGCAGCTGTATTTTCCAGAATCCTTATACTTGCACTAACCTAACGATTCCTCATGTCATACACTAATGTTTATTAACCCCTGAGAAAGTGTCTGCTTATTCCTTCTGCTTATGTAGGTGATTCACAAATGCTGTCTCTAACGTACAGCTTGCTTACCTGTACAATGTGTAACGTCATCTGTCAGCTTTGCCTTGCTGTTTTGTCATTCCCTAGAGTATAAATCGTTTAAGAGAAAATAAGGAACTCTCTCCTTTAATGTTTAGCTTTCTGTTGTGTTTTTGATAGGTGATATTTAACATGCAGTCATAGTTGTTGATTAGATGTGTAATTTCATGTTTTGAAGCTAATTTTGTGTCATTTAAAGTAAATTTAAACTATTCCCCTGTGAACAGGTGTATGTCATGCAAAGGACCAGTACATTGAACAGTTCAAAGATACTCTGAATACCTCAGTACCAAAGACAATAGCTGGATTTATCGCTGAACCAATTCAAGTAAGTAGTTTGCTGTTTCTCAACTGTGATAGCAAAAATAGTGTGAAACATTAAAATCTTACAAACTTTAGCTACATTCTAACCATGCACTTCTGCTGTTTTTTTATTATTTTTAATGCCTTAAGCACCTTAAATATTTGAAACAATGGCTGTACTGTCTTAAAATCTCGGCTTTTGTTCCTGATTTCAGTGGAGCTAGAACTTTGCTCATGAAGTTAAACAGAGAATCATGATTAAACGTACACATTTTTTTCTGCATTTAAATAGTGATACATGCTGTTGTTTAGTGTCTAATACCTTGTTCCAAATTTCATTCTGCTTTTTACTGGTTTTGTAACCTTATATCAATTCCTACTTTCGCCTCTTCCCAACCATGTTGTCCACTATATTTTTAGCAGCTCTCCAGCAAGTGGTGGCCATGGTGTTCATTCCTTTGGTACTTTACCCTAGTTTCAGAACTGCTGTATATTGTGGTTCTTAAGTAGGAAGAATAGGGAATATATCCTGGAAACAGGAAAAGTAACAAAAAAAATGAGAATTGTGACCACAGAGATAATTGGAGCCGTCTCTGGTTTCCTGTCTTCTAAGCCTTTACATACCTAAGTCTAAGCAGCCATTACAGTCCAGGTGTAGAGTGGGATTTCTGATCCGAATAAAAACTGGCAAGGTGAACAGTAATCGAGGAAACAATGTTTTAAACAAATTAACCAAAGAAGGGATGTGAATTCTGTAGTTTGTCATCAAAAGCAGTCTTTGGGTTTCTCAGAATGTAGGTTTTTTAGGTACTTGTTTTGGCAGCTTATCTTTAATCAACTATTTCTTAGAGTGATCCAGTTTACAGTATGGCCTCACAAACATTTATACCAGCACAACTGACAGAACAGCAAACTGCCCTGTGAAATGAGAATGAGTGACCTGGGCAGGAACTTTTTGAAGCAGTTTCGCTGCTGAAGCCAGAAGCTTGAAACAAGTCTTGCTATTACCTGAGGGCTGCTCATATTTTTCCCTGTTGTGGGATAGTCACACAGTTGAACTCCAGTTTATTTGTCTGTTCCTGAAGACATTTTCTTTTTTTGTCTTGCCAGGGTGTTAATGGAGCTGTTCAGTACCCAAAAGGTTTCTTAAAGGAAGCTTACCAGCTAGTACGGGAAAGACAGGGTGTCTGTATTTCAGATGAAGTGAGTTACATTTTTTTTTTTGCATAGCAACTCTAGAGTTTGGGGTACCTCTGAAAGTCGTCTTAAAAAAATACAACTGGAAGCCTGGAAATAATCTGAATGAAATGCTATACACTTCATGGCTTAAATTTAACACATTGCATCTTTGCACAGTGCATCTTTGTGAATGCTCCATCCCTGGCGGTGTTCAAGGCCAGGTTGCACAGAGCCTTGGGTGGCATGGTTTAATGGGAGGTGTCCCTGCCCATAGCAGGGGGGTTGGAACTAGATCAACTTAAGGTCCTTTCTATTTAGCAATAGGTAGGTAGGTAGTTAGGTAACTATTCTATGATTCTGTGGTCTTTCCAGGCATAGGAGTCTTCCAGGTTTTACTACCTTTATTCTGCTATGTGGTATTCTGGCTTTAGACACAGACTTCAATCCTTACCTTTTGGGAGCAGTAAATTTCCACAAATATGTGGTATGAGGCTTGCAACTTCCTCTTATGAGTGTTGTTGGCGTACATAAACTCTAGAAGGGAATTGATTGCTGTACCCCTGCAAATATGTTTTTGAATGTGGAATTGGAATTGGAAATTGGAATTAAGAAGTGGAATTTGCTTAGCTAAAACTATTTTGAAATAGTAGCAAGTGCTTCAAAGTGACAATGGTATGTACCTCAAGCATTGCAGTAATAGAGATCAGCAATCATGGGGTTGCTTTTGAAATGTGATAAGCAACTGCATTTCCTCTCAATTTTGAAATGGAAGCTGCTTATTTATGCATCTCACCATGCCTAAGACATGGTGATGTGTTACCTCTTCCATATGCAAAAGAAAAACCCAATTACAGTAACAGTAAATCGTATTTTGTGCAAAGCCATCTGAATAAGGATCCTAATGCAAGTTGATTCCAGAGATAGCTGCAGTTTAATGCAAATTAGTGACAATAGAAAGACAAGAAAAACGAAACATCTTATAAAATATGAGTAAGTGATGGGGATTTCTATGTGTTTGTCTTTTGAAAGGTACAGACAGGATTTGGACGGACAGGCAGCCATTTCTGGGGATTTCAGACACATGGTGTAGTCCCTGACATTGTTACTTTGGCAAAAGGAATTGGTAATGGCTTTCCAATGGCAGCTGTTGTTACAACAAAAGGTGCAAGAGTTCTGTTCAGCTAAGATTTAAAATAGAGCAATTACAAAATACAGTCTACAATATTTACCTGCTGGAGACATGTGTGTCAAACAGCTGAGCTCTGTGAGTAATCGTTGTCTCAGTCAATTGACAGATGAATTGGATTCTCATTGCTCACATCTTTTTACCAAGTGCTGTGCTATACGAGTGCAAAGCTTTGTCTAAATGGGGTGAGTTGTGTAACTGTGGCAGGGATGACCTTGTGAGTTACCCAGCTGGTATAGCTGGTAAATACTCGAAATCCTCGTTGAATTCACAGTATTTTAGTAATCAACATTCTGTGAGTTTGTAAGAAGGCCAGCTGCTTCGTTCTTACAAATGACTGGCTGAATCTAGTAAAGGAGATTTGTAGATGTCAGTTTACGGGGAAACTTGACAACATGTTAGAAGTGTGACTTTTTTTTAAAAGAAGTCCGTTTTTACCATCTGCTAGACACTATAGGTTTTGGGAATAGTTATATTTTGCGCAGAATACTTGCAAGAAAAAAATAAAATCTTTGTATCGTGTTGTCTCCAGTAGAATCAGGCTTGAAGCACATCAAATGTAATCGTTAAAGCACATAAGTACTGTTACCAAACATAAGGCAGCTGTAAGAGTAATCAATATTGTTCTTTTTCTTCTAGAGATTGCAAGTTCCTTGGCTCAAAACCTTCATGTTAACACATTTGGAGGAAACCCTTTGGCCTGCACAGTTGGAGCTGCTGTTCTTGATGTAGGCAGAACGTTGTATAAATTTATATATTTCACTATATATGTTTATACTACATATTGCTACTTTATCTTGCAGCAAAAGATGAAAAATGTTTACATTTATTCTTACTATAAAGTTATATGTGGGCATCTTTTTAAATTACTGTATAAAGTGCATAAACATATGTATGTATTATGCATACATGACTAATACGCCCTACATGTAGGAAAAAACCCTCATTAATTTCACTGCAGGATTTTCATCCCTCTAAAAAGAATAGAAGCCCTCTTACTATGTTTTCAGAATTGCCTGTCTCTGTCTCCTTTATGTTCTTTACTTTGTTAATAAACAGGTAGGAAAGTGCCTTCTCAAAACCTTAGCCAACTCTTCCATAGGATTACACAAATTATCAACCAAACCAAAGGTATTCTCTGGCACACATGCTAAGCAAAATTGTTTTCAACTCCACAGCTTTTACCTTATGCCTAAAAAGCCGTAATGACCAGATAGTTAAAAGTATTTAAAGTCAAAATTCCTTCCGAAGGAAAAAAGAGAAAAACTCCTTCATTAAAAAGACAATAGAACAAAGCTGCAACATATTTCAGTTGTCATCCAGCAGAAAATCAGGCAGTGGCCAGTACGTTGCTATTCAATTTGTTTTTATCATGTACAGACCATATGTCCTCGAATGTCACTTCATTACAGCAGATACTGTTTCTATTCACATTACTTTTCTGAATATTTTAGGGTTCTCTTTAGCTATTTTATAAGATGGTTAATCATATAAATAACAAGATTTTGAAAAAACAGTTTACGAGTACAGCCATGTTTTGGGGGTAAAACAGAAAAAAGGCTTTTTTGGCTATAAAGTAACTTGGAGCCTGGATCTGAAATAGGTCTGAGGAGGTTGGCAAAGTCAGGAAGAATAAAATGGAGTTGAGAGAAACTTTAAAAAAAAAAAAAAGGAAAAGGAAGAAAAAGGAAAACACCCATTTCAACTTCTGTAATTGTATTTTGGGTTGTTTTTGTTTTTACTGTGATTTCCTTAACGTAAATATTGAGTTCATAAAACGGTTTGTATGTGTCAGGGCTGGTAGCTGGCTGCATGTCAGAGAGGAGAGGAAAAACAAAGATGGTGATTGAAAAGCATGGTGTTGGTGAATCTAATTGCAACACTCAGGTTGTTCGCTAAATTGCTGCTCAGTAAATACAGGTATGCCTTGTCAAATTATTTTCTTCTCATGATACTGAGAAAGAATGAAAATATTTCTGGTAAGATTTTGAAAATAATCTGGTGGTCAGGTATTTTTCAATTATGACTCCATGTGAGCATGAATTACTGGATTATGTTTAGAGGAGACCTTATAGCAGCCTTCGAATACCCAACAGGGGCCAACAAGAAAGATGGAGAGGCACAGGTTGCCCAGAGAAGCTGTGGCTGCCCCATCCCTGGCAGTGTTCAAGGCCAGATTGGACAGGGCTTGGAGCAGCCTGGGCTGGTGGAAGGGGTCCCTGCCTGTGGCAGTGGGTTGGAACTGGATGAGCTTTAAGGTCCCTTCATACCAAACCATTCTATGATTCTATGATGATGTTTATTGAGTAATAAGTAAAATGCAAAAAACACTACAGCAACAAAATACTATGCTAAATTGAACTCCAGTGACATTAGATGATTGTAAGAAAGAGAAATGTAAGGACTGTAGTAGTGAAGGAACATACTCTGTAAAGAAGCGAGATAAACAATGTGTCATCAAGCTAAATGGGGATTAACAGACTTTATTAGAAGTTTTTCCTGCAACACTGTCACAGTATGTCATTTTAACCAGGCTATTGAAGAAGATGGCCTACAGAAAAACAGTGAGGATGTGGGAACATACATGCTGCTGGAGTTGGCTAAACTACGGGATAAATTCAAGATTGTTGGTGATGTCCGTGGCAAGGGACTTATGATCGGAGTAGAAATGGTGACAGATAAGGTTAGTGACTTCATTTATTCCTTTCAGTGCCATTGAAAGATTTTTCACATTTTATTCCAGTTGAAAGAATAGAAAGATTGTCTATTCAAAAACAGCTAATGAAGGGAGAAAACATTGCTCTGGCTAAAAATGAGACAGAACATTCCAGCATTTCAAGTACTTCACAAGTTTTGAGTAAACAGTGACTTGTGTGCCTTAGTTGCATAAACTCATCTTAGAAAGCAGATTAATTACGTTGGCTGACCTTTACAGCCAGAGATGGGGTGAGGTTTATTGGAAAGACTGGAAAATACTTCCTTTTCATAGAACTAATTTAGAATATCGAAGTGAAGTTTAATCTTTGCTTTCCGTAGGACCATCGCCACCCTCTTCCAACTGAAGAAGTCAGTCAGATCTTGGAGGACTGTAAAGACATGGGGGTCCTGATCGGCAGAGGAGGACTCTACAGCCAGGTCTGAGCCTCTGGTTATACGTAAAGCTTATTTTCTGCCTACATCCTTTAGTAAATAAAACAGGAAATGTATACTCTTAGGAACTAGCTCTGTTTAATCTTGCTTATTTCATAAATTAGGCAGGACTTACTTGATTCAAGCATGTTGAACTAGCTCTGAGTTTGGAGTTTTCCTTTACAGGGACAGCTTCCCCTAGAAAAGCAGTGTACTGTAGTCTATGTACATTAGAGGAAATCAGAAGTATTCAGGCATGCTAAGTCTTTGTTACTTTTCAGGTTATCACCTGACCTTCAATTTTTATATTTAAAAGAATTTATTTAGGCAAACTAAAACAAAAAAAAAAAAAAAGTTATTATCAAGCCTCACAGAGCAGCACAAAAGTGGGAATTGCATCTGAATGGAAATCAGCCCAACCCAATTGAAGATGCACCATGCCGTACTCACCTTCTTGCATCACACGAGTTAATAGGAGAGAACTGCCTCAGGCCTGGTCATGTCAGTGAACTGCTCGGGCATAGAGGAAACAGCTTCTGTATGAGATACATGCAGGATGGCTAAAACAAATGGGGCACTGCAACTGTCACCTCATTGGTTCTTCCACAAGTCACAGACCAGAACAAGGGTAATAATAGCTCAGAGTGCAGTAAAATCTGATTCTGTCTCACTTAAGTGCTGTTTATCTGTGAGTGTTAGCTGAGGCTGTGGGTGGGAAAGACCGTTATCCCACTCTTGCTGCATAAGGTTCTGTGATATGATGACAGAAGAATTTAAACTGAAAGCTTTAAGATTCTTAATGTAAGTTAAATACTCTTGGAAACATTATAATATAGATTAAACATTTGGATTTAAGAACCTCCCTTCTTGACAAGTTGAACTGTGCATATATCCTTTCCTGGTCAATGTGCATTCAAGCTATAGTACCCTTACTGAAAGTTTGTGTCTAGCAATTCTTTCATGGTAGACTCTTTCATGTTTAGAGGCCTTAATAACTGCGAATACAACAGGAAATCACTTGACACAATGCAAGAAGCTGACACTCTCCACAGATACTACTTTTCCCTGTGGCAAAGCTGCCAGAAAGGAACATACATCCGCGTCTCTGTTCTTTCTTAGTACAAACCCATCTAAGGTTTTATACTAGCTCTGTCTGTCATAACAGAGCTGCAACCATGACCGACTCCAGTCAAGTCTTTGTTGGAGGCAGTTGCTTTGTCAGAAGTGTTGGATGCAGTCAAGCCCAAAACTGTTCCACTTCAGAGTGCATTGATCAGAAGCTTCAGTCCCTGCTCTGTGGGTCTCGTATAATTTTTCACACTTAGGGTTAGACTGAGGGGCAGAAAGTGAGTGCTGACCTAGATGGGCTGGTAGAAACTGTGTTATTTCCATACAGTATTAAGGATTTTTTTTTTTTTTTTCCTTCTTTCCCTCTCTCAGACATTTAGATTTAAACCTCCAATGTGCATTACTAAAAAGGATGTCGACTTTGCTGTGGAAGTATTTGACACGGCTTTACAGAGGCACATGGAAAGAGCAGCTGCAAAACAGACTTGATTTGTTTCCTTACATGAGATGAACACAGATCCCCTGATAATTGCCACCCGGACTCATAACTAATCTACACTGCATAAGAAAATCATATTCTGAAGATTAATACTTGTTCAGTATTCTAAGAGCAGTCTGACAGATACAGTGTTTAATAAAGAATACACTCTAATCTGTTTTGTAATCATATGGCTCAGTCTACAGTGGTGGTGTGCATTAGCTGCACATCAATTCTGACATTAGCATAATGTCAGAAAAAAACCCTATTAGGATTAATCTGGTATCAGATGAAGAGGCAGACATACATTCATCTTTCATCTATGAATATCACCTAAAAATCAGTAATTTTCATAGAGTGACAAAGAAAAACAATAAAGTTGTTTGGAGGAAAAATGCTGCTTAGAGTATGGCATGTATGGATCCCTTGGGGACTGCAGTGGGATGGCTGCTGCTGCCCTGGCCACACTCCTTTGTACCACGGCGTTCACAGACCGTTCTAATGGATGTTTTCACAGAAGTACCACACGCTCCTGAATGGCTGAGCATGGTGCGCAGTGCTGCAGAGCTGGCTGGAACCTGACTGCTGCTGCCACTGTTCCTGCAACCAAAACCTCACCATTTACACCCAATACATACAAGCACTCGTAAGACACACAAAGTATTTAGTTTTATTTAAATAAGAATAGAAGTCAAAAAGTAATACTGCAGGGTTTAGTTTGTGAGATTTCACTTGCATAAGCATAGACAATCTCTGGCTGAGAAATACCCTGTTTAGAACACAACTGGAGATTTCACAGTTAAAACTATTTACCCTTATTACAACGATACACTGTAATTAGAGCATGAAAAAAACACAATGTTTGCACAAAGGTGTAGTTTCTAATTACAGTAATTATTTGTATCACATGCCTCTAACCCAGTTATCATCCTCTCTAAAACACGCCTTTTTTTTTCTCCTGCTGCTTTCAGGATTGCACGGCCCCTCCGTTAGTCATTTAGCAAAGATACAAATTCTGACTGCTGAAATAAGATGCCATGTTTCTTTCTTACTTAATCACCTTTTTCCTTTTTTAAATCATCAGTTCATTCCTTGCTTTGGTTTCAAAAAAAGAAAAGAAGAAAGACAAAAACCAACAAAAGGCATTGTGAACAGTCAGCAGGAACATTTACCATTTCACTTTCATTCAAAGTTTAAAAAGCCTTGACCCAATAAAGGCATCCTGTCAACATGTGGGGGAAGGAGATGGTTCTGCCACTCTGCGTGACAGATTTAAACTTTAGAAATTAGTTAATGCAAGATCAGTGCTTCTGCAAAACTGCACCATAGGAGCTTTCTAAACAACATACTACACGGAGTACCACTCTCATCATCTACATTAACAACAGCCTTGTAAAATCCACCACCATGGCAAAATGAGGTGCTTGTTATCCCCACCACGTAGACATGCATTTAAACAGAGGTGCAATAACAACTCCCATGTTTTTCATTAGAAAAACAACAGAACAAATTCATTTATTCATGTCACTCATTTCTGCCTTCACTTCTCTCAGCAAGGTTCTACTAGCAATTTTTTTCCACCAACACCCTGGCATGCAGGTACAAAACCGACAGGAATTGTCAAAGCTGATTAACCAACTTAGACACCTTACTCTTTCCCTTTCATCCGCTGTTTATTGTAATTAATTACTTTGAAAGTACTCCTCTCCTTGGGGAGGGCAGAAGAAAAGCCCCATGTTGGGGTGACATTTCATAGAATCACAGAACAGTTAGGGTTGGAAAGGACCTTAAGATCATCTAGTTCCAAACCCACTGCCATGGGCAGGGACACCTCACGCTAAACCATGCCCCACGCAAGGCTCTGTCCAACCCAGCCTTGAACACTGCCAGGGATGGAGCATTCACAACTTCCCTGGGCAACCCATTCCAGTGCCTCACCACCCTCACAGTAAAGAACTTCCTCCTTATACCCAATCTAAACTTCCCCTGTTTAAGTTTTAACCCATTACCCCTTGTCCTGTCACTACAGTCTCTAATGAAGAGTCCCTCCCCAGCATCCCTATAGGCCCCCTTCAGATACTGGAAGGCTGCTATGAGGTCTCCATGCAGCTTCAATTCTCCAGGCTGAACAGCCCCAATTTTCTCAGCCTGTCTTCATACAGGAGGTGCTCCAGTCCCCTGATCATCCTCGTGGCCTCCTCTGGACTTGTTCCAACAGTTCCATGTCCTTTTTATGTTGAGGACACCAGAACTGCACACAATACTCCAGGTGAGGTCTCACAAGAGCAGAGTAGAGGGGCAGGATCACCTCCTTCGACCTGCTGGTCACATTCCTTTTGATGCAGCCCAGGATACAGTTGGCTTTCTGGGCTGCAAGCGCAGACTGAAGCCGGCTCATGTTCATTTTCTCATCAACCAACACCCCCAAGTCCTTCTCCACAGGGCTGCTCTGAATCTCTTCTCTGCCCAACCTGTAGCTGTGCCTGGGATTGCTCTGAACCAGGTGTAGGACCTTGCACTATATTTCATCTTTGACAGATGACCAAAGCAGCACAGGCCCTTCTGCCTGCTGCACTCACCCTGAGCTAATCCCTCTAAAGAAAAGCAGCAACACGAGTGTTAAAACGATAAGCCCTCTCTGTGGGCACTTTATCTGGGCATGTTTCTACAGGAACACAAGGTCAATTTGAATTACCACTTCCCCAACCCCATTGTAAAAGCTGCTGAGATGACAAGTCAAATGCAGTCATTAAAGAAAGGCTGATGAACCCAAAACCAAGCACAGGTTTCTTCAAAAGATACTATTCTTTATGTTTCATCTTCCTTTTTTTTTCCCCCAAATTAGGACTTGCCTTCTCTGTTCAACTCCAGACACAATCAATGTCACCTCTCTGCTCCAGGACAGCACTCATGTATGATTCTGTAGACTGCCACTCCAAAAAAGTTCTATCTGGTTTTACGTTTCTCTTTTTTGTTTCTGGTGTTTACAGCTCCATTTACAGCTGCTGCTTGTGTGGCTTTTGCATGTCCTGTGGCTTTCAGGTGTTCAAAAAGTTTATTTCGGGATGGAAATGCACAGTTGCAGGTGACACAGTGGATAGGAACTTCATTCTGCAATGAGCAAAAAGGAAAAAAAAACTTCGCATTTGGATGGAGGACATAATAAACATAATACACCTATTTGTTGCATGCAGCTTCTCCTGGACAATGAGATGCAAATACGCTGTTTCTATCAGACATTCCATAATTGATTAACAATTAAATACTTTTGGGGTTTTTTAGATCTCAAGTGTAACTTCTTGAAATTTCAAAGAGTACTACATAGAACCCAGAACAAGAAATAGAAACCTTGCAAATCATTTAAGCTAGAGAATACTTTTTGTGTTACCTTACCATATACACAACACTTGGGCTCTGATTTAGAGAATTGTGTGTCTTAGCTGTAGTTATTACAAGATTTTTCTCTTTCCGGGAAACATCAATATTGGGAAAGATACAGATAGTACTACCCACCACCTGCCTGATGACAACAGTTCTGTTTTCAGGTGTTTAGTTTGTTTGGTTTGAACTGTCTTGGATAGAGAGCTTTAGCTTCTCTTAGAACTGAAATAGAGTCCACTCTTCTCTGAAAGGACAAAAGCAGCTTGTCTTCTACAAGGAGCAGAAATCTATGGGCTGGAGGTGATCAACCAACCAACTAACCCTGTTTGTAGTAATACGACGACCAAGTTTTAAATAGCATAAATAGTTTGACATACTGTTGTTGGGTGCTCTGAAGATGCCTTAGCAGACTTTTTTGCTTCCTTGGCTTTCTTCCCTTTAGGTTTAGTACTGCTGATAAGACAAAGAGAAAACAAGATCAGTGCACAGGAACATTCAATATTTAAGAGCTTCTGATGGTTTTCAATCATCAGCATCTCCCTGTTCTTCCTTCACAACACAAAGCAAGCGCTTCAAGAAAAAAAAATAAATAAAGCTATTTAACTTATACAATCAGTTGTCATTCTCAAGATTCAGTTAGGTGATTAACTGGCTACTGGTAAGTGATGTGGCAGGGATGTGCAGCCAAATGCCATTTTCAAAGCAGGTCCTAGCACTCCTTGTTAAGTACCATATTTATTCAGCTCTGATTTAGTGGAGCAGTCCCCAGTTCACATTGGTGGGTAAATCTAGACTGGTTTGAAAGTACCAAAATAGATAGTGACACACTGACTGCAACACTGCAAGTCAGCACACCTTTTAGCTTCACTTCTTGCTTCATTCACTTGGCTGACATCTTCTGTAGCGCTTGCGTCCTCTGACACAGCACATCTTTGGCCATCATTCACCAGCTCCTCTGCTGAGCCACTGTCCTTGTCCACATCGTGCACCTCCTTTTGTTCAACTGTTTCTTCATCAGCGCTTTTATCAAGAGAGTCCTCGTAAGTCTGTCCAAACAAGACATGCAAATTAACTACTTTAAGCTAATTAGTGATTATGTTTATAGTATTATACTTATTTACCTCAAACATGGTTGGGTGGGGAGAACAGAAAGCCATGGACCCTCTTAATTTTACTGTGTGTTTTCAATGAGACTGTAACTGGTAAAACCTTAGTTCTCATGTTTTGAAAGATGAAGCCACCTATGATGAAGGGAAGAAACACCAATAAAACAGCCCCTAAAACTAGAGGAGAGGAGAATGAAGGTAGCTTTTAATTATACACAGGGGTCATTCTGTTTGGGCTGCCGCTTCACATTACAAGTTAGTGTCTTTGCTTATAACCTTGCAAAATGTTAATTAGTTAGACTAAAGTTTTCTGTGCCAGAAACCTGTGTTAGGACACTTAAGCCAAAATAACTGACCTGACTGAGGCTAGATAAACACACTCCATTTTCCCTCCCTAACATTAGAAACAGTGGCAGCCTTTCCCACATACCAGAGACAGAGTAAACTCAATACATGCTGTTTGGCAAAAGATCAACCCCTGAGCACGTCTAAAACAAAACAGCTCAGTTCCCAAGCACTACATTAATGTAACTACCACCTCCAGCATCTTTTGCAGAGTCTCAGCCACCTGGAATTTAAAAAAAAAAAAAAAAAAAAAAAAAAAGGTTAAACTACCCTCAGGAAAGGAAAACAAAACACATAGCAATTCCCAGGATTCCATAAAGCTTGGCAGAGGCTGGAAGTTAT